TGAAGTTTGCTCTTGATACACTCTTTTTTCCCTTGATGTTTTTCCCACCTCCTAAGGTCCTCCTCATGTACCGTTGCTCCAATTCTAGCCATAGCCCTTCACACCATACCACCCTCCTAGGCCTGCATGCCCTGCTCCTCTCACTTTTGCACCAAAATTCCCAGTTCTTTAGGATATATGATTTCAGCTAAGTCGGGGCAGGGGGGATGTAGAGAACATTTTTGGAGAAGGAATGCTACTCTAATTAGACCAGTTCTAATTCAGGGTCAGTTCTTCTAAGTTACTCTTAATTTCATAGCTTTTGATTCCACAAATACTCTGGAAGTTCCCAGTTTGTTTTTGATTTTCCAAAACTGGTTTCTGTGGCAGTTGGGGTGGGGCAGGGGGCTGGGCAGCCATTTGTGGCATGTCTGAGTCTTTTGAAAGTTGGAGAGTTCCAATATATAGAAAATCCAGATAAGGATTGGCTAAGCTCATTCAAGCTGAGTGCCTCCAGCCCTCTGGTCTAGTGCTTTCTCAGGCAGAGCTGAAAACATGCATTTCCCATTTCTTTTTATTTTTTTAAAAGATTTTATTTATTTACTTGAGTGAAAGCACGCACAGGGGCAGAGGCAGAGGGAGAGAAAGAGGGAGAAGCAGACTCCCCGCTGAGCAGAGAGCCCGATGCAGGGCTCAATCCCAGGACCCTGGGATCTTGACCTGAGCTGAAGGCAGATGCTTAATTGACTGAGCCACCACCTGCATTTCCCATTTCTAAGAGAAATCTGTTTTTCTTTTCCTTTTTGTTTCCTTCTTTCTTTCTCTCTTTTTGAAATCTGTGTTTTTTTGTTTTGTTTTGTTTTGTTTTAACTTAGGTGAAAAAAGGGACTGCAGTTCAGGAATACATTTCATTTGAGAAAATGTCTTAACAGAGGCTGATGTGAAGTTAGAGGCCTGGCAGTGTATTGTAAGACATCGTTTTCCTGAACCTCAGCAGAGTCCTCACTGTCTCCCTTCCTTTCAGGTGAAGTTGGCCGTGGCTCCTTAGTCCCCTGAGCCACAGGAGAGGGTCCTCAGTCTCTTAGAGGAAGATTTGCTACAAGATAGTTAGATGGTCAGCTACAGGTGGTGTGTCAGCCATTCTCAGATAGGGAGTCTAGCCTTCCCCTCAGATAGCCCCTGGCTGCCTTTGAGAGCTCTGTTTCTGAGACCATTTATTCATTGATTCTATCAGGAAACTTTTACTGACCACCTGAATTGTATGCCAAGCACTAGCAACTTGAAAACAAATGAGACAAGATTCCCTTTCAGGGGCTCAGCTGCCTACAGCAATAAACAGACCTGTAAGCCCAGTAAGGCATTAAAAAGTGTCTGTGGAGCCTGAGGGGCACAGATAGTCGGGGGCAGAAAGGTGATGCTGGGCAGAGGGAGCTGCATTAGTAATGGTACTGAGTTGAGAAACAGAAGGGACTGCATATGGTTCTGTGTCACTGCAATGTAGGGTTTGAGGGTGCAACGTAGCTAGAGATGCTATTGGAAAGATAGAGAGAGGCTGGATCATAGACGCTTGTATACTATGCCCAGGTACCTAGATAGGGGTCAGCTTGTTTTCTGTTGCCATTGATCTGGGTCTGAGGCAGTTGAAACTCCAAACCTCTATACCTCTATTGATTTTGTTAAAAGTGAGAGAGATGGGGGAAAAAAAGTCAGGGAGATGGTATAGTGTAGTTAAGGCTACAAGTTTTTGAGCCATACTGCTTGATTTTGAATCCTAGCTTGCTATGATCCTGGGCAAGTTATTTAACCTTTCTATGCTTCAGTTCTCTCTTCTATAAAATGGAGATAATAGTTGTCCTTTATATCATGTGGTCATTGAGAGAAATAAATTAATTAAAAATGTATAACAGTGCTTATTAGGACAGTGTCTGGAATAAAGTAAGCAATCATTAAATGTTAGCTATTATTTTAAAAATAATTTTTTTTAAAGATTTTATTTATTTATTTGACAGAGACACAGTGAGAGAGGGAACACAAGCAGGGGGAGTGGGAGAGGGAGAAGCAGGCTTCCTGCCGAGCAGGGAACCTGATGCGGGGCTTGATCCCAGGACCCTGGGATCATGACCTGAGCTGAAGGCAGGCGCTTAACGACTGAGCCACCCAGGCGCCCCTAAAAATAATTTTTGTTCTCAGAGAAATGTCATCCTTCTTTTTCATTTTTCCTGATTTTTTTTTATTGTAAAAGCTTCTAGAAAGAGCTTTTAGAATATACTAACCTCTCTCTCCCTCCTTTTTAAAAACTTTGCACTTTTTATTGTCTCTAATGGGAAGGGTGTGCCTTCTCCCTCAGCTTCACAGATAAATTTTTTTCCATGTTTACATATGACACTCTTAAACCTGGTTTAACATGTCTGGTTCATCAGAGTATTATGGTTGGTTTACAATGTGTGAAAGAATATGGATGGATTGTTGGATATACCCTTTAGTTCATTCCATCTATTTGGCAATTATCATTTATTCGCTTTGTATTATTATCAGTAAACATCAATTGAGCATTCTTATCCTAGACTTTGTGCTAGACACAGATCTAAATGAAAACAGTTATAGCTCTTGAGGAGCACATAGTCCTCCTTGGAGTTAGAGACCTTCGTTTTTATTTTAAGCTCTTTTGTTTCCTCCGCAGCTACTTACATGGTTTGAACCTATTTACTTCAGTTAGTGAATGTGCTACTATCTTAGGTATTTGTTCATTGAATGATCTCTGCAGGGGAAACTGCTCAAAGTAGTACACATTAATTGAGCATTCTTGCTCAATTGCTAGGGCTTTTCTTTCACCACCAGATGTGAAACATGGCTCATTTTGAGCAGTCTCTGCCTTTTTTTTTTTTTTTTTAAGAAGGCTCCATGCCCAGCATGGAGCCCAATGTGGGGCTTGAATTCACGACCCTGAGATAAGACCTGAGCCAAAATCAAGAGTCGGATGCTTAACCAACTGAGCCACCCAGGTGCCCTAGAACAGTCTCTGCCTCTTAAAATAAGCATACGTTAGCATACGTTAGGGCCAGTTCTGCTCAAAATTTAAGGACAGCCTCATGTATGAAATCTTTTATTCTCAGTTTCCTTCTTGAGCAGTTTTCAAAGCTCAGATAATTTATATGCCATACTTCTTCTTTTTTTTTAAGATTTTATTTATTTATTTGACAGAGAGAGACACGGTTAGAGAGGGAACACAAGCAGGGGGTAGTGAGAGAGGGAGAAGCAGGCCTCCCGCGGAGCAGGGAGCCCAGTGCGGGGCTCGATCCCAGGACCCTGGGATCATGACCTGAGCCAAAGACGCCCAACGACTGAGCCACCCAGGCGCCCCTGCCATACTTCTTTCTTTCTTTATTTTTAAAGATTTTATTTATTTATTTGACAGAGACCGAGATAGCGAGAGTAGGAACACAAGCAGCGGGAGTGGGAGAGGGAGAGCAGGCTTCCCGCCGAGGAGGGAACCCGATGTGGGACTCGATCCCAGGACCCTGGGATCATGACCTGAGCCGAAGGCAGACGCTTAACGACTGAGCCACCCAGGCGCCCTGCCATACTTCTTTAAATAATTGTTTGAGGCTATGCCATGAAGATATATCTGTTCACATTCAGTAGTGAATGACCAACAATGCCTGTTAGTAGAATAGGCCTCTTCTGAGCATTAGCAACTGCAGTTTCACTTTGGTTAATCCAAGAGCCTAGGTATAAGTCTTAAAATTAGAAATATAATACTCAGATTTCATTAATTCTGCTCTTGATGTAAGTTTGGGAATTGTCAAGACATGGAAGTACAAAGGAAATTAAAGGGAATATGTTAGGATGACAAGGAATGTTTCTAATAAAGTGAGACTTGCCAAGACTTGGGACATGAGGTGTAATATCTTCAAGGCTGATATAGGGAGAGAATTTGGCACCCTATCAATATGGGAACTGAATGGTTAAAAAATTGAGAGGGAAGAGGGCAGCTGTCTCTGAGTTACAGTTGATAAGGAGCCCCCACTATCTTACTCCTAATTCTAGGATGACCAGGAAAAGGGTATGTGGAAAAGATATTGGATAAGAAATTACAGCCATAATTCCAGGTGGTACTCAAATATGTTAACAGTCAATTAGATGAGGAGTCCATATGTAACATGCCTTACATGCCTAGACCCTTGCTAGTGGATCAGATTGCAAGTATTCAGTTCTAGAAGAAGACTGGTTTGGGGCACCTGGCTGGCCCAGTTGGTGTAGCATGTGACTCTTGATCTTGAGGTTGTGAGTTTAAGCCCCGTGTTGGCTATAGAGAGTACTTTGAAAAAGTAAAATCTTAAAAAAAAAAAAAAAAAAGACTGGTTCAAACCAGACAGGTATTGGGGCTTGAACTAAACAGGCTAGGTTTTAGCAAGGCTCCAGGCTTAAGGAAGGGAATTAGAATGTTCATCAGGGCTACTGTTGAACATTAAGGAAAGAAACATAATCTCCAGAATATCAACTGGCCTAGTATTGGGATGGGAAGGTAGGGTAAGTGGGAGTGCTTCAAGTCATCGACTACACAACTACCATGGGCGTGGGGAAATACGCATAATTGGTTACAATTGTAGAGAGTGTGAATCAGTATCATGTTTATAGAGGGAAATTTGGCAATATCTGTCAAAATGTAAAAATGTACAATTCCACTTTTATGAAATCATCCTACAGAAGGAATCAAACAAGTAAGAAAAACCTATAAGGCTTTTAATGAAATTAATGTAAAAGAGCAATCAGTTGGGACTTATTAAATAAATTATAATTCTGCATACAGAGGTGTTGCTTATAGATAACTCCCCAATTATTAAAAAGTACTTAAAAATTTGACAGTGTAAAATGCCCAAGATATATTGTTCATTGAAAATAAAAGCAAGTTTTAGAAAAGTATATATAAAATAATTTTTTCTTTTATACCTTTTTTTCCCTTTATTCCTTAGTTTCAATTTTTTTTGAGATTATTTATTTGAGACGGAGAGAGAGAGAGAGAGAATGAGCAAGTGAGAGAACAAGAGCAGGGGAAGGGAGAAGCAGACTCCCCACTGAGCAGGGAGCTTGATGCCTGGCTCGATCCCAGGACCCTGGGATCATGACCTGAGCTGAAGGCAGACGCTTAACCAACTGAGCCACCCAGGTGCCCCTGTTTCAATTTTTTTATGATAAGCACTTCACTAGCAGACTAAGAGGATGATTTATCTATTACCACCTATCATGGTATTTTTGGTAACTCATCATGGTTGCCTCTTGGGGAAGATAAAATACCAATGAGATCTAGTAGAAAAGGGTTCTACTTCTAATAATACAGGAGTATCTTATATTGATCTAGCCCTTTCTGAGATAACAGTTATGAACTCTGGACAGTATGTAAAAAAATATAACTACTTGAAGACATTGGAAAGTGACAATGAGGCAGAAATTGATAGGAAACTTGAAAGATGGGAACTGTACCAGGCATGATTCTCATGTATACAATTCTTTTGCCCCAGTTTGCATGGTGGGTGGTGGCTAGAACTCAAACAAAAGTCTACAGTTTTACTAGCTTGGGGAGTCGGATGGAGTTCAGGACTATAAGAGGGACTGGAGAATGAGGGGAGAAATCTCAGAAGGGAGGGAGCAACAGAAGAGGGAGCCCTGAAATCTGCTTTTAAATTGTCCAAATCCTTGACAGGCATGGGGAAAGACTTCATGGAGCCTAGAAAAGGCAGTAGTTGGAAAGCTGAATGAATTGAGCTGAGGTTTAGCTGCTGCCTCTTGTGGGGGAGACAGAGTTTGGAGTATGAATCTAGCCAAGTTAATTTACCAGTAGAATAAAATTCACTCTTCAGAGGAAGATTGACAGAATTTAGAATCTCAGTAATGTTCAGTATACAATAACAAATAACTAGATGTGCAGTGAAGGAAAATGTGACTCGTTGAGAATAGCAGTCAATAGAAATTGACCCCAAGATGACTCAGATGTTGGGATTATCAGACAAGGACATTAAACTTGGTAATAATAAGTGAACAGATGGAGAATCTCAGCAGAGAAGTGGGAACTATAAAAAGAACCAAATGTAAAATCTAGAACTTAAAAGTGTAATACCTGAAATGAAAAATTTATTAGATGTGCTTAACAGCAGATTGGAGATGGCTAAAGAAAGGGTTGGTGAACTTGAAAATAGAGTGCAGGAATTATTCACTCTGAAGAAAAAAGAAAAAAGATTAAAAAACAAAAAAAGAGCTTCAGTTACTGTGGGACAATATTAATATATGTGTAATTGGAGTCCTAGAAGTAAAGGAGACAGAAGACATCTGGCAGATTGTATTTTCCAAAGATAGCTGCAGCAGTATCTACCATCCTACATGTTCTCTTGGCCAATAGAATCGAGGTGGAAGTGACATTCAAGCTACGCAGAGCTCTAGTTAACAGTCCTGGCTCAGCCTGGCCTTTGAGACATTTCAGCTTAGGAATCAACCATGTGAAGTGAAGAAGCCACTAGGTGATACCAGCTCCCAGCTATTTTGGTGTCCCAGATGAAACCCCAGAATTCATGAATCAGAGTCAATCTATCCCAGTTGTCCCTTGAATGAATTTCTAATGCACAAAATCTGTGAACTTAATAAAATGCTTACTGTTTTATGGCACTAGGTTTGGAGTGATTCGTTATGCTGTAGTAGATAACTAAAACAGGACAAAAATATTTGAAGAAATAATGGCTGACAACTAAACAATAAAAAGACAACCCAATTTAAAAATGAACCAAAGATCTGAATAGATCTTTCTCTCTCTCTCTCTCCCTCCCTTTCTCTCTCTCTCTCTTTCTTTCTTTCAAAAGATTCTATTTATTTGACAGAGAGAGAGTGTGAGAGCACAAGCAGGGGGAGTGGCAGAGGGAAAAGAAGCTCAGTGGGGGGCCCGATGCACGGCTCAATCCCAGGACCCTGGATTCATGACCTGAGCCAAAGGCAGATGCTTAATGGACTGAGCCACCCAGGTGCCCCAGACATTTCTTTAAAGAAGATGCATAAATGGCCACAAACATGAAAAGGTACTCAACGTTATCAGCCATCAAGGAAATGCAGATCAAATAGAATGGCTATAAGGATGACTGTAATAAAAAAAGACAGATAATAACAGTGTTGGTGAAGATACGGAGAAATAATAACAAATGTTGGTGAGGATGTGGAGCAATTGGAACTCTAAAACACAGCTGGTAGGGCTGTAACATGGTGTAGCCACTAAGGAAAACAGCTGGGCAGTTCCTGAAAAAGTAAAGAGTTACCATTTTACCAGCAGTTCCATTCCTACATGTATACCCAACAGAAATAAAAGCATATGTCCACACAAAAACTTGTACTTGCATGTTCATAGTAGCATTATTCATAATATCCGCAAACTGGACACAACCCAAATGTTCATCAGTTGATGAATGGGTAAAATGTGGACTATCCATATAATGGAGTATTTTTTACCATAAAAAGGAAAGAAGTGCTGATTCCTGTTATAACATGGATGAACCTTGAAAATATGCTAAGGGAAAGAAGCTATTTACAAGAGACCATATGTTATATAATTCTGTTTATATTAAATGTCCAGGATAGGCAAATCTATAGAGACAGAAAATAGAATAATGGTTACCAGGTTAGGGGAAGTAGGGAAAATGGGGATAATAGCTGAAGGGTACAGGTTTTTTTGGAAGAGGGTAATGAAAACATTGTAAAATTGATTAAGCTTATGGTTGCAAAACTCTGTGAGTATACTAAAAACCACTGAATTGCACATTTTAAACATTGCATGGAGCACTGGGTGTTATATGCAAACAATGAATCATGGAACACTACATCAAAAACTAATGATGTACTGTATGGTGACTAACATAACATAATAAAAAAATGAATGTGTATATGGTATATGAATTAATTTCAATAGAGCTGTTCTTGAAATAATGGCTAAAAGTTCCAACAGAACTTTTAAACAGATTTATAGAATCCGAGAAGCTCAGTCAACCTTAAGCAAAATAGATACAAAGACTACTCCAGGCACATCACAGTCATATTGCTGAAAACTAAGGAGAAAGAGAAGAACTTGAGAGCAGCCAGAGAAAAGTGACTCATCACACAAAGGAGAACAATGATCTAAATTAATGGCTCGCTTCTCATCAATAACAACAGAGGCAAGAAGATAATGGGATGATACATTTAAAATGCTGAAAGAGGGCGCCTGGGTGGCTCAGTTGGTTAAGTGACTGCCTTCGGCTCAGGTCATGATCCTGGAGTCACGGGATTGAGTCCCACATCGGGCTCCCTGCTCGGCAGGGAGTCTGCTTCTCCCTCTGACCCTCCTCCCTCTCATGCTCTCTGTCTCTCATTCTCTCTCTCGCAAATAAATAAAAAATCTTAAAAAAAAAAAAAAATTAAAATGCTGAAAGAAGCTCTCAACCTAGAATTCCATGTCCAGCTTAAATATTTTTTAAAAATAGGAAGTAAAATAAAGGCATTTTTAGACAAATGAAAACTGAGAGAATCCTAGTAGTACTACAAGAGATAATGAAAAAAGTTCTTCAGATTGGAGAGGAATGATACCACATGGAAATTTGGATCTATAGGAAAGAGTGAAGAACACTGGAAATGTAGGTGTAAAAGACTATATATTTTTTATTCTCAATTTCTTTAAAAGACAAGACTTAATTGTAGGTCTATGACATATGTACAGTAGTCCCCCTTATCCACAGTTTTGCTTTCTATGATTTCGGTTACCTGTGGTCAACCGCAGTCCAGAAGCAGATTATCCTCCTGACATATCATCAGAAAGTCAGTAGTAGCCTGACACTGTGTCATAGTACCTACGTCAGTCATCTCACTTCAACTCATCACATAGGCATTTTATCATTTTACATCATTATAAGAAGGGTGAGTACAGTACAATAAGATATTTTGAGAGAGACCACATTCACATAACTTTTATTACAGTATATAGTTATAATTGTTCTATTTTATTATTGTTAATCTCTTACTGTGCCTAATTTATAAATTAAACTTTGTCATAGTTATGTATTAATAGAAAAAAACCCCCAGTATATATAGGATTCAGTACTATCTGCAATTTCAGGCATCCACTGGGGGTTTTAGGATGTAGCCCTTGTGGATAAAGGGGGACTACTGTAGATATAATAAATATGACAAGTATAGTCCAAAAGGTGAAGGGCAGTAAATGAACTATTTTGCAAAGATTCTTAAATTCTTATGTGAACTACAATATTTGCTCTAAGTAGATTGTGTTAAGTTTACATATTGTATCCCTAGAGCAGTCTCTCTCTTTCTGTCTCTCTCACACACACATAAAGAGATACAGCTAAAAAACCCATAAAATAATTATAATGAAATACTAAAAATAAATAGATTAACCTAAAAAGAAGGCAGGAAAGGAGGAATAGAGGAAAAAACCAGATGGAACAAATAGAATGGTAAACCAAAATCTAACCAGTATCTTGATTTTGGCTCAGGTCATGGTCTCGAGGGTCATGAGTTCAAGCCCCACATTGGGCTCTGCACTCAGTGGGGAGTCTGCTTGAGATTTTCTCTCTTCCTCTCCCTCTACTCCTTCCCTCCTCCCCCCGCCCATGTGTGCACGTGTGTACTCTTTCTCTCTCAAATAAAATCTTAAAAAAGAAGAGTTAAAAAAAAATACACATGAGGGGCTCCTGGGTGGCTCAGTCGTTAAGCGTCTGCCTTCGGCTCAGGTCATGATCCCAGGGTCCTGGGATTGAGTCCCGCATCAGGCTCCCTGCTCCACTGGAAGCCTGCTTCTCCCTCTCCCACTCCCCCTGCTTGTGTTCCTGCTCTTGCTCTCTCTCTCTCTCTCTCAAATAAATAAAATCTTAAAAAAAAATACACATGAAACAAAACAAAACAATTAAAAGCTTGTGGGCTCTCTCTCTCAAATGAATAAATAAAATCTTTAAAAAAAAAGCATAAAAGGGCAAATCCACAATTATAGTTGGGTGTTTTTAATACTCTTCCCTCAGTAGTTGATAGAACAACTTGAGAAATACCAATAAAAATATAGAAGATCTGGGAAGCCTGGGTGGCTCAGTGACTTAAGCATCTGCGTTCGGCTCAGGTTGTTATCCCAGAGTCCTAGGATCGAGCCCGTGTGGGGCTCTCTGCTCAGTGGGGAGCCTGCTTCTCCCTCTACCCCTGCCTCTCTCCCCTGCTTGTGCACTCTGTCTCACTCTCTCAAATAAACAAATAATATCAAATAAATAAAATCTTTAAAACAAAAAATTTAGAAGATCTGAGTAACATTTTGCATTGCCTTGCCTAATTGACACTAATAGAACACTGTACATAACAACTGAAGAATATATGTTCTTTTCAAGTGCACAGGGAATGCTCACCAAAATAGACCATACATTAAATATGTCTCAACAAATTTCATAATATTGGGAAGTTACATAGTATATTCCCTGACTATAGTATGGAATTAAATTAAAAATCAATACCAATAAGGGTGCCTGGGTGGCTCAGTCGGTTGGGCGACTGCCTTCGCTTGGGTCATGATCCCAGAGTCCTGGGATCGAGTCCCACATCGGGCTGCTGGTTCAGCGGGGAGCATGCTTCTCCCTCTGACCCTCTCCCCTCTCATGCTGTTTCTCTCTCTCTCTCTCTCTCTCAAATAAATAAATAAATAAATAAATAAAATCTTAAAAAAAAATCAGTACCAATAAGATAACTAGAAAGGCCCTGCAAATTTGGTATATTTAAAATACATTTCTAGGGGCACCTGGGTGGCTCAGTCGTTAAGCGTCTGCCTTCGGCTCAGGTCATGATCCCAGAGTCCTGGGATCGAGCCCCGCATCGGGCTCACTGCTCAGCGGGAAGCCTGCTTCTCCCTCTCCCACTCCCCCTGCTTGTGTTCCCTCTCTCGATGTGTCTCTCTCTGTCAAATAAAATCTTTTAAAAAAATACATTTCCAAATAACTCATGGTCAAAGAAAACATAAAAGAAGTTAGGAAATATTTCTAGCTAGTTGGCAATGAAAATTCAACATATCAAAACTTGTGGGATATAGCTAATAAAGTGAGTATTGGGAAATACGTAGCTTTAAACATTTATATTAGGGAAAAGTTTAAAAATCTGTGACTGAGGGCGCCTGGGTGGCTCAGTTGGTTAAGCGACTGCCTTCGGCTCAGGTTATGATCCTGGAGTCCCAGGATCGAGTCCCGCATCGGGCTCCCTGCTCGGCGGGGAGTCTGCTTCTCCCTCTCCCACTCCCCGTTTGTGTTCCCTCTCTCGCTGTGTCTTTCTCTGTCAAATAAATAAATAAAATCTTAAAAAAAAAAAAAATCTGTGACTGAAGTTTCCAACTTAAGATACTAGAAAAAGATGAGCAAAATAAGCCAAGTAAGTAGAATAAAGGAAAAACAGAGTAGAAATCACTGAAATTGAAAATAGGACAAAAATAGAGAAAATTAATACAAAAGTTTTTTTTTAAATATCAAAATTAACCTTTAGTGAAACTGATCAAGAAAAAAATCATAAATACTACCAGGAATGAAAGAGGGGATATAGATAGATCTTACAGATGTTAAAAGGTACTAAGGGATATTATGAATATCTTTTGTCAAAAAATTCAACTTAGATGAAATGCATATAATTATTTGAAAAACATAACTTACCAGAACTGACCATGAAATAGAATATCTGAGTAGCCTTATGTCTATTAAGGAAATTACATTTGTTATCAGAACCTTTTTTAATAAAGAAAACTCCAGGTGCAGATAGCTTTATTGATGACTTCTTTTTTTTTTTTTAAAGACTTTATTTATTTGACAGAGAGAGACAGCACAAAGCAGGGGGAGTGGCAGGCAGAGAGAGAGGGAGAAGCAGGCTCCCCACAGGGCAGGGAGCCTGATGTGGGGCTCAATCCCAGGACCCTGGGATCAAGACCTGAGCTGAAGGCAGTCACTTAACCGACTGAGCCACCCAAGGTGCCCCTCATGACTTCTTTTGAACATTTAAGTAAGAAATAATACTCATTTAACACCAA